TTATAAATGTAATATGTCTTTATTGTAAATATATGAAACGGCAAAATAAAAAAAAATAAAAAACTAAAAGTAGAAAATATTTATTAGTCATAGTTTACGAATAAATATTGAATTTAAGTTTTTAAGCGACGTTTGTAAAAAAAAAGTATTAAACCTTTCAGAGATAAAATTTGGTTCAGTTATATATATGTTTCATTATCTTGCAAGCAGTTGGGAGATGAGTGATTGACATTTATTAAATTATTAATTTCTTTCCAAATTTCGCGAAGATTTTTTACATTTTCAGTTAAGTACTTTTTAAAATGTATATTTTTACTGAGCTTAATTTGGTAACTATTATATATTTATATTGTTTGAAAGTAGTTTTAAATAAGTTTATGTTCCAAATATCTTTTGATCTTAACATTTTTTTTTTAAAAGATTGCACATTTTCATAGATTTTAAGATTCCCTTTGTAATCCAAGGTTTAAATCGACGCTTGAAGTTCTTAAGACTAATTTTTTTAAGTGGGGCGTAGCGATTCAAAATCAACGTTTTTTCAGAAATGAATTTTTGGAAACAAGAGTTAACATTACTGTTCTCTATAAGATTATTCCAATTAATTTTTAATAAATCTGATTTTTAGAATTTCTGCGATATAAGTGGTGATTGCGTGATATATATATATAACTTATTAAAATTAGGACAAATACAAAATTGAAGTAAGTAATCAGGAAATGAACTTGTCAAATTTCATTTTCTGATCACTTTTTGAAATTTCATGTCAAAGTTATTAAATTAGAAAAAATTTTGTCGATGATTGTAGCAGAATGGTTAGTAATTCTGGTTGCCAAAGTGATAAAGGGAGCGAATATAAAAAGAAAGCAAGTTTAAAAAATCGTTGTCATTATTTGATTGTATCAGAACAATATAATCATTTAGTAAGAAAACCGATTTATTTACCACATTTATTTTTTGAAAGAGGACAGGCATGAATAAAATGAAAAATATAAAATCGTTTATATCTATGCAAGGGTGTTTATAAATGCAACCAACAATAACATAAGATTTTTTAGAAAAAATTATTTTAACAAATGTCGATTCTAAACAACACGGTGTATTAATCAATTCTAAACAACACGGTGTGTTAATCCCTTTCGTTTAAATATTAACTTTTTTGACAAGTATAACAATGTACATCCAAGAAGATTCAGTTGGTGTGTGTTCAATGTTGTAGTTATCAATGAGGATTGGATGAACTGATGGTGTTCCTTTTTTTAATCATGATTCGGTTATACCAATAATGGAAAGTTCAAAACTCGTTAACATTTAATTTTTAAAAGTGATTTTGCAGAGATGATTTGTTTAGATGAAATAAAGAGAAAGCGTTAATTTTGTCAAAGTTTAGTGAACAGAATTTACTTATATCATAATATTTGCAAAATATGTCTATTGACGCATGGGTTTCTTCATCTGAGACTAAAAAATGAAATGAAACATACAATGAAAATTTATTTAAATGAGAAGGAGGAAAAAGATTTAATGACGGAGATAAATCATCTGTTGTAATAAGTTTGTCAGAAGATAATAGTAATTTGAATTAATTATCTAGTACATTCGTGAATGCAAAGAAAGGCTTTGTACAACTTACACAATGCAGCAGTATGCGACTTAATTGTAGTAAATTGTACTCAGTAATAAGCCTGCTGCATTTTGAATGAGTCCAAAACAAAAAATGTCATTGAGTGGCAACTCAAACTTATTTTTTTTTTACACAGATGACAGTTTAAAGCCATAGTTAAACATAGTTAAAAAATGACTAACTTTTGCAATATTTGAAAGGATCTGTAGATAATGATTATATAAGTAAATAGATAAGAAAATAGCTATGTAAATAATAGTAGAAAAAAGTCAGCTTTCTAACGCTTTTTTAAAACTCTTTGAACGCGTGATAAAAATAGAAACAACAAAAGCTAAAGACGATGAAAACATTGAAAATCTGAAAACAGAAATAAATCAAGCAGTTGAGTCAAGCAAGTCTATCAGTGACTGGTCGCTTATTGTTAAACAGGGTATACAAATAAAGAAACCTTCAGAGAAGCTGATGGTCACAAATATATCCTTTAATGAGTTGGACGAAAAGAAAAAGAATAGCAAAAGATGTCATTATTTATGGAATAGCCGAATCAACTAAAGAAGGCAAAATAATGAAATCAAAAGAAGACAAATGAAAAGTAAACTAATTTTTCAAGCTTTTAAATCAAGAAAATTTAATACCAAAATTTGTTAGACGGCTGAGATCTAAAACTAATAAACCAGGTTTAGTTCTTGTTGAATTAGCTGAGGATACTTTTTGCAACACAATATTAACATCAGCTAAAAAATTGAGAAGTAACGTCGCTCATAAAAGTATTTATCTTAGTCCAGATATGATGAAGGATCAGAGACTCTAAGACTTTAATCTTAGAATTGAAAGAAATAAAATGAACCAAGCAAGAACAGACAATGACCCCTTTTGGTATGACATCCGTGGCAATAAAATCATTAAATTAAAAAAAAATCAAATCAATAAATTTCTATATAATTCAGTGTCAGATTGCAATGAAATTAAAAAGCTGCCATGTTTATAAGTAACGTTACCTCTCTCGATAACAAGTTAAATGAGTTCAATGTGTTAATTGAACAATACAAACCAAATGTAATTTTTGTGACTGAGACATAGTTTAAAAGTGATTCGGTTGTAAACACTGATGGTTGTCGTTTGTATAGAAAAGACAGATCAGACCGGCGAAAAGGTGGTGGTGATTGTTTATATATAGACAACTCATTAGATTCCTATGCACTAAATCATTACAAATCAGACAACTCATTAGATTCCTATGCACTGATGCTGCTCTAGATCCATGTAAATTGTTGTTGGGCAGTTGTTTATTTTGATAATGACAAATATTTACTTGGATGTAATTACAGACCAAATGATTTTTTAGATATAGCAGAATTTGATGAGGTTTTTTGGCCTGGAACGCAAATATATAGACGTACTTATCATTGGTGGCTTCTATTTCCAATCAATCAGCTGGTGATGCAATTTCAAATGAGAATTGAATTGGATATAAATTTACAGATATTTGAATGTTAATTTTCTTTATCAGGATATTAACATACTAACTTCCCAAATGTCATAATGAACAACTTGTGAATACCTTAGATTTGGTCTTTAGAACTCAATCAGCTAACATCTGATCTAATTTCAAATGTTGACTGGATACAATGCTTCAGTAATAAAAATTTACAAGCAATGTTTGATAAAAATGTCTGATTTTTTATACTGATGTGGCGTGTAATCATTTCACTTTAAATAAAAAGACATTTAATTTTTTAAAAATTAATCCAGCCTGGGCTAATCCTAGGTTATCGTTTCTTATTAGAAGCAAACAATATTTAAGATACAAAAGAGCTTATGTAAATGAAAAGAACCGGTTTTGAAATCTAAATACAAAATGATTTGCAAAAATGTAGCAGACGAGATTAAAAAAGCGAGATAAAACTTTGAGTTCCATCCGGTAAAAAGAACGATTACAAATTCAAAGCCTAAACTAAATCCTAAATCCTAAAAACACAATATTTTTTTTTCATTTAAAAAATATGTTATTTAATAATTTATAAATAATAATAATATTGCATACTGTTTCATTATTTTTCCACCAATATAAAAGAAATAAAACAGAATATAGTAACAATTAAAATTAATTAATAAATTATTCAAAATAATACATAATTAATACATAATATATAAATTAATTAATTGTGATTACCCCTTATTGGTTGAAGTCTTATTTAGGCTTTATAAATTAATTATTACACTTAAGATTATAAATTATTTATTTAAATAATTAATTTTAAGCAAGCCGATTGCTTAAATTAAATCATTTATATTATCTTTGAAAAGTAATTTTAAAAAATTTGTTAAATTTTAAAGGCATTTTTGAAAAAGTATTTAAGTTCTTGTAGATTTAACCTGACAGGGAAATTTCAGCTCTTTTCTAATTTACATATGTAAAAATCTAAATATTTCAGAAACTATTGGCTGAAGGTAAAAAGTGAAGATAATGAAATTTAAAGGGAATAATCTAGTGAACAAAATGACACCTATATCACATATACAGGTTAAGTCGTTTCCATTTTACCGTAAAAAAATAACAAACGTTCTTCAAAGTTTCCATTTTTTCCAGATTTCATCCTCAATGAAGCAAGGGTTAGCATTGTCCAATCGAGCTAAAACTTTATAGATGTAATTTTCTAGTTCTAATGACGCAATTTAGGAGATTTCCCGTGTAATTTTTGGAAATTTTTTAAAATTTTATCTTCTATTGCTTATTTATATAAAAATTTGCTCACTTTTTTCGCTTAATTAAATTGATATCCCAGTGGGTACAAGACGTAAAAAAGACGTCTTTTAAAGGTATTTTAAACGTTTTAGACGTCTTTTTAACAATTAAAAGACGTCTTATTTACATCTTGTGCCAAATGAGATGGCTTCTTCAGAAACAGAAAAAAACAACAAAGAATAATGAATGACAAGATTGCTGCCCCATTTCAAACCCTCATTCGATGTAGCAGCACTCCGCTGCGAGTCAGATTATTTTTCAGCCCATGTATGTAGTGAAGCCCCGGCAGCAGGCTGTATTAGTATGACGTCACACTTCTAACTTAAATCAGAAGTATAAGATATATATATATATATATATATATATAATATATATATATATATATATATATATATATATATATATATATATATATATATATATATACACACAATGGAAGAAGGCTAACATATTAACCAGAGTGCCTTCTAAGTTAGACTGATTTAAACCGATTTATGGTTCAGATCTCTTTTACTGTAAATAATAAACTCAATGAGTGTTTTTAAATTAGTCGATAATTTTTCAGAAAACAAACAACAGGTAACAGAATAGTAAATAAAAAAATATTAAAATAATAACATCAAAAACAAATAATCCAACTAGGAAATGCCTAGCTGTCACTTTTCAAAACAAAAAATTACATTAAATTTTTTAATTTTTTCTAAAGCTGAAATCGAAAAGCTTAAAATTAATTTGATTAGAAATACTACTTGCATGTCAAATAAAGATAACTACTTGTGTTATGTGCAATAACAGTAGGGACGTAGATGAGGAAACTCATTCATAATACAGTAAGGTTGGTTTTCATAGCGATTAGTTCTGCTGATATTTTCATCGACAATTATTGTATTATCAGGTAAAACATCAGCATTTGCTTCAAATGTTCCATTACTAGGGTTTACTGTAAAAACAACTTCATAATACTCTTTTGCAGCACTTGAGGTATCGTAAACAACTCCACATGAATCACACTCTTTGTTTCTTTCAGTTTTTTTAAAATTTTTGACTTCATTTTTAAGAGTTTTTATACCTGATGATATAATAATATTTAATGTTAAATTTGCACAGTCTGGCTGCCTTTTCGTTTTTGCTAACCAATTTATTTATAAAATCGATAATTGCTTTTGCAACTTTTTCTACTTTTGCATCTGTTACTGGGACGTTTTTATAATTTAAACAAGGACACCAATGATCAGCAACGCCAGAATTTGTACAAGTTCGTAGTTCTGGATTAATTTCAGTAAATAAACTTTGTCCAATAAACTTTTTTTCTGGAAAATCGGGATAACTTATCATATGTTGCAATGTTGCATAAACATCAAAGTGAGTGGTTAAAATGTTTGAGTTTTTTTTCAAAGCTGTAAATAAATTTGAATATTTTTCTTTAAAATTTACAGGTAGTGTGATTGAAAAAAAAGGCAATCTTTCTTCTAGTTTACCTTGAGTAGTCAAACGGAATTCACTTACTCGTTCACCATGATCTCCAAAAATTATAAGAATTGTGTGATTGATTCTTTCAGGCATTTTAAAATAATTTATAATTTCTAATATATCGTTGTCAATTAGTTTTAAATTGTTAATATTACCGTGCGCAATTTCAGAGTTTATAACTAAAGAAAGTTTCGGTATATCTTCAAATGTTTCTGTAAACGTTTTGAGAAGTATGTTGTTATATTCAACGTCGCATTTAGGTGATGGTGTTTGTGCTAACCAAAATGGACGTAGGTACCATGACGTAGGTTCGTTAATAAAGCCATTTAAGCGATAATGGAACGCACCTTTTTGTGGAAAATCTTCACTAAGCATAGTAATAAAGCCAGCTTTATGAAAATCATTGAATATAAAATTAAACTTATCACAAGTACCAGATGACGTAAAACTTCGTCTTGCTTCTGGAAGGTCTTTTTCATGTTCACCTTGTATGAAAAATACTTTAGAAATAAAAAAAGATTTTACAAAATTATTCTAAAATTGAAGTTCAAATTTTATGTTTAATTTAGATCAAATTTAGGTTTAACTTTTATTATTTTTATTTTTATTTTAGATAAAGTAAGGTTTTAATATAATTTTACTTATTCTATTTTTCTTAAAAATATCATAACTTATTGTTTATATTTTATCTATTTTAAATTCGGAAACTACATATCCTACTTTTTTAAACTCCTTTGTTCTTCAGACTTCAAAAATGTAATACGGATGCACAGCATTATATAAAAATTTACAATTAATAATATATATATATTTTTTTAATTAACAACTTTAAAGAGAACCATCAATTAAGCGTCACTCAAGATGCAAACTTGCATGCCCGGCGCAACATGTAAGTAAGCATCTTACACTTATCAGTTCATGCAATCATAAAGAATTTAAGTTTAAATCTACTTATTTAGTATCAATGGCCATTGATTTTTTATCTTTTATAGTTGAGTAGTTTCAGTATAAGAGCAGGTGTCTACTTGAAAAATTAAAAGTTTCTGATAAGTTATTAAATAGTCACATGTACAAGCTGTCTATTCTTGGCTGTCTACGTTTGAGTACTTAAATAAAAGGTAATTTAATCTTTACCAAAATTTTTTTCAACACTATTCAACATTATTTAATCAAACAAAAAAGAAATAGAAGCGATAAAGAATTGGTTAATGACTATGAAGTGGTGATGTAAACTAAACAAAACATAGGGATAATTGTTAATCAGTAATAAAAATTTATTGTTCTGTGAAGAATTAATGCAAAATAAAAAAAGAGTTTCAAGAACTTGTATTATAAAGAATATTATGACTTAATAACAGTCCTGTTAAGGACTATTATTAAGTCATAATATTTATGTTAAGGTTTTTGACATAGTCAATTATTTTATTAACTAAACTAGAAAACTGCCTCGGCGTTAATTTTTGGCCAAAAATCTCTTAAAGCGAATTGTTCACGCAACTTATCAAAACAAAGTGTCATGTTGACTGGAATATTTTTACGTTTGGTTCAGTCTACACTAAAATAAAAACCAAGGTTAATGGCTTAATTGGTCAAAAAGTAAATGTTTTATTGTTAAAGTATAAGTTATATTTGTTGTTCATGGAAGAATGTATGTATTTTTACACATTCTTCGTTTTATTTAAGTCATAATAGATAATCTGTCAAAAAGAAACAAATATGGACCTAACTCACTGAGGACCATTTATAACTTTTTTTTATAAATGAGGAAAATTATAAATATGAGTTTGTCTGACATTTGAATATGAGTTTATCATGTGACATTCAGACTAATTTTGAGAAAATTGGCAGCCATTTGAAAAAAAAATATATATATGTTAATATTTGATTTAAAAAAACTATTTTTTAATAACAACATTATCTTATATGTTAGAATGTAAATATTATAAAAACTTTTATATATTTGTCACTTGACATTTGAAAATTTTAAAAAGATTTTATAGCTGATAAAATATATTTTGTAAAAATAATATTTATTAGTATATATATATATATATGTGTATATATATATATATATATATATATATATATATATATATATATATATATATATATATATATATATATATATATACATATATATATATATATATATATATATATATATATATATATATATATATATATATATATATATATATATAATACTTTTATCCTGCATTATTTTATATATATATATATATAAATATATATAAATATATATATATATATATATAAATATATATATATATATATGTATATATATATATATATATATATATACATATATATTCATATATATATATATATATATATATATATATACACATATATATATATATATATATATATAATACTTTTATCCTGCATTATTATAATAATTAAATAATAAATAATCTAAACTTAATGCATTAATTACAATTTTTTTGAGAAATTGTTGATTTTCTTTACAGACAAATTTGTTTATGGAAATAGTTATACTTTTGTTACTATAATGTTGTTTTTGGATTAATTTTTTTTGTGTTGTTTTATAGTTATACTTAAAAGCAACCTATTTTAGCATTGTTATCTATATTTATTCAAATATTACCTTCTATATATCTATATAGAAAGTAATATTTGAATACATATAGATAACTTATTAGTAATTTAGATATCTATATTGTTATATAGATATCTAAATTACTAATAAGTTAATAAAGTTACAGAATCAAATATACATTCCGAATGGCAGCAGCTTTGTTTGGAAAATGTTTTCCATTAAAATTACATAGTTAGGAATGGATTTTACTTTTTCTCCTAAAGGTGCCTCAATTATAATATGTAGCTCATGCAAACTGAAGATTACAAAATGAAACAAAGAAAAAAAAATCCAAGTCTTTGGATTGGATCACAACAAATATGTTGTATCATATTAATATAAAACATAAAGAAATAGCAAGCAGAGTGTTGAAACTTAATGAAGAAGAAAACAAAACGAGAGCAGAAAATGAACAAAATGTGTTCAAGAAAATCAATTCAACTGAAGGAAGTTGCTGAAAAGGGTCCCAACAAACTTTGTTTGAAACACTTGAGAAAAATAGCTCTGGGACATTAATGATCACAGGTCTAAATTAATTAATAACTATATTGCAGAAATGATTGCGGTTGATACTCAACATTTTTCTATAGTAGAAGCAGGGCCGTCCCAAAGAGGTCTTCCATGGAAGAGGGGGTGTTTTTTTGCAAACTTAAAACACAAAAAAAAAATATTTGCAATTTTCCAACTATAGTTCAAAACTTGCTCAATGTGCCAACTCAAATGCCCCAAGTGCCAACTCACCCTCCCTCCTTCGGGACATTCCTGAGTAAAAGGCATTGGATTTCAAAGATTGCTAAACCATTTATGTGCAAACTACTGCATTCCAAGTAAAAAATATATTAAAAACTCTGTTTTTCAAAATATATACAATAAAGTCAGACAAAATGTCCAAAAAGAAATAAATGATGCTTCATACACTTCATTTACAATTGATGGATGGGCATCTACCAACGGTAAATGCTCATTTTTTCGCTCGACAGCTCAGTGGTTAACTAATAAATTTCATCGAAAATTGGCAGTTCTTCAAGTTTGTCAGCCTAATGTATCACATACTGACAAAAATATGAGTGAAGCAATTCAAAGTTCTATGAATGACTTTCTTATTCCAACATCAAAAGTACACTTTGCAACTTGTGTTGAATGGCGTTTTATTTACCTAGACATGTATTAAAAATATATCAACAACTTATAAAACATAGAAATTCATTTTTATCATTTGCTATCTTTTTTTGAGGCTTTTCAAAAATATCAAACCCATTATCAAGTGCCAGAAATGAAAGATGGAATAGTCAATATTTTATGTTTGTAAGAATTTTTGAACAAAAGCATCCTTTGATCGCATTTTGTTGTGATAATGACAACTCTAAACTAAAGTCACTGAAAAACATTGAATGTATCATTTTATAAAAATTACTACGAATTTTAAAAATGTTTAAAGATATAACAAATTTATTAAGAGAAGCAATTTCATCTGCTATAATTCCAACTGTATATGTTATAAAAACCATGCTGGTTCAAGCAGAAAAGTCTCCCTTGTTTTTAGGATTAGAAACAACTTTACAACTTTACAAGAATGTTAAACTTTACAACTTTACAAGAATGTAAAAAATCAACGAACAAAAAATTTGAAAAATATCTCAGTGACAAAAATCTCATTTTTGCCACATTTTTAGATCCAAGGTATAAAAATAACTTTTAGGATAAGGAACAACTTTACAAGAATGTAAAAAATAAACGAATAAAAGATTTGAAAATCAACGAAAAAAAGAATTGAAAATTATCAAATTTTTAGATCCAATGTATAAAAATAATTTTTATCCAAATGAAGAAGCTGATAGTTATTTTGAAAATATTATTAAAAGACTTGTAGATCGCTCAAAAAAGATGGAATTTCAATCAATTTAATCGAAAACATATCAATATCTGAAGTACTGCAAGAAACAGAAAGCAAACGTTGTATAAAATTAAAAAATGAGGTTTTAATTTATTTGAAACAAGACATAATCATATAAGAAAATAGTCCTTTAGTTTGAACAAATAATCAAGTAATTCAGTTTTTTTCTTTCACTTTAAACAATAACCAAAACATTTCAAAACAGAATCTACTAGAAGAGGTTCAAAATTCTCTGAGTACTTTGTGGGGCAAAGCTACAGTTACGCGGCCTAAAATAATTATATTTTTGCTAGGGGGTTTTGCTACATCGACTATCTTATAGCCTGCTGCTGCAAGGAAGTGCTGCTACATCGACTGAGGGTTTGGCATGGGGAAGCAATCTTTTTTCTTTTATTATAATGTAGCAAAACCCCCTGGCAAAATATAACTATTTTAGGCCACGTAACTGTAGGATTACCCTTTGTGGAATAAAGTAAACCCACGTCTTCCTCTTCATTAGAGAAATTCAATCTTAAGAAAATTACAAAATCTTTTTAAAAGAGTAAAATCTATAAACCGAGGACGCTGTAAATCTAAAAGTAAGGAGTATCAAGATTTGATTTTAGATAAACTCTTTGATTATCAAAGATTTTATCTATGATGAAGTATCAAATTTTAATATTTCATCATGTGCTTGTGAAATAGCACCTGTTTTATGTAATGATAGAGATGTTAAGTGTAGCATCATCAATTGCCAAGTAGAGCACATCTTGTGTCTTTGTAAAACTAGAAAGGTATTTGATTACATTTTTTGTATATTATTGTATATACGAAAACATTTGTTGTTTTAATCTGCAATTATTTATTAACTATATATAATTATTTCACTTCAATTAAACTGAAGTAGTTGATTATTTTCAATTATTGTATTTAAGGTCTCTTTTGAAGACAGGGTATATATTCGTGACCAGAGAAATAAGATTGGTCCTAAAGATTTTTATCAGCTGGGAAAGGCTGATTTAAAATCTGGTACATTTATTCCAGAAAAGTTAGTTCAAGTAGAGCTTATAGATCATGTTGAAATGCCTTACGCCCATAACTCATTGATTGATTCTGGTCACATATCTGAAGTTACAGCATCTGATCCAGATGTTTTGGTAACATTTTTATGTATATATATATATATATATATATATATATATATATATATATATATATATATATATATATATATATATATATATATATATATATATGTATGTATGTATACATATATATATATATATATATATATATATATATATATATATATATATATATATATATATATATATATATATATAAATTTATATATACATATATATATATATATATATTTATATATATATATATATATATAAATTATGTTATAATAATCTACAAATGAGTGCTCTATGTTCTTAAATTTCAGAGCAATAGTAAATTAGTAAAAACATTCATATATATATATATATATATATATATATATATATATATATATATATATATATATATATATATATATATATATATATATATATATATGTATATATCACAAACAGCACACAACAGGTTGGTGCAACCGTTGCCCTGCTTACAAATGCTCCACTTCTAGATTATGGAATCATTAAATATGGAGATTTGAATCAAGTTGTAGATCGAAGCAAAATTGAGAGGTAAATACTATTTCATTATATAAGTTAGACAAATATAAATATATTTCTTTATTTAATAATTTATATAAATGCTCATTTACAAAACATTTAATATGATATTTAGCTAAATATAATTCTTTGAGTTGTTTTATAGAGAGAAGAAGAAAGTAAAGTCAATATATGGTAATCAACATGATAACAATTTACGTAACTTGGTGTGTTTGGGTGTTGATGGTAAAGATGATAAAAATGTTCTTCAGTTTAAGGATGTTGTTGAAAATGGAGAAACTCGCTTGTCGAGAGTTACTGAAAAAGAACATCATTTAACTTTTACTAATGAAAATAGTTTTAAAAATGATTCATATCTCTCTCATAAAAATCTCCCATCAAATGGTGCAACTGGTTTGCTTCAAAGTGAAATTGCATATAATGTTCTGAAAAAGTATGATAGTTAAATTCAGTATAAGCCCTTCTTCTTAGTCATACAAATGTCAATACAGGTTTCAAAACTGGAATTGTTGCACGTTTAGAAAAGAAACTAGAAAGAAAAATACACCTTATCGGATGTACTTTGCATCACAATGAACTTCCATTTCGAAAAGTATTCAAAATAGTTGATGGAAGTTCAAAGTGTCCAAATAAATTTTCAGGACCTATTGGAAAGCAAGTTACTATAGATTTCCATCTTAACCCACAAGTGAAGTTTAGCAAATTAATACTTCAGTAGAGATACTTAATATTCCTATTGAAGTGATTTAAGCCACGATCAAAGACTATTATTTGAATATTGTCTTGGAATTTCTAAAGGATTTGTCAATAACATATTTTTTAGAAGAAAAATTGGTCCACTAAACAACGCAAGATGGTTGACTTTAGCAATTCGAATCATGGCTTTGTATACTTGTACTGAGGCACCAAGTCTTGATCATGTAAGGCTTGTAAATTTTATTGTACAAGTGTATGCATACACTTGGTTTCTTATCAAAAGGTCTTCTAAATTTATGGATTCTCCAAGTATATTTTTTAAAATGATAGAACAGATAAGGAAGCAAGATGAAGAAATAGAAAAAATTTGTTTTAAAAATCTAAAAAAAAAAATCATATTGTCTATTGCCTGAGAACTTTTTATATTGTATGCTTAGAGATGAAGAATGTAAAATAAGGTAACAGGCGTTAATAGCCATTAAAAAACTCAGGATAAGTAAAAATAAAGAGTGTCGTTTTACAAATATTGCTAATGTTAAGATAAACTTTCAAGCAACTTCTTAGATAGAGTTAATCGACTTTAAGAAAAGCAGTGAACCGGCATCAACAATATGGTTGAAGGATGACGAAATCGATGCACTAATTGCAACTAAAAAAGTTCCGAACTTACCTGAATTTCCTTCTCACGCGCAGAGCGTAAAACGCGCTGTCAAATTAGTTACAGAGGCTAGTCACCAAGTATATGGCAGGGAAGCTCGTCATAAATATATTTTAACTTAACTAAAATCCAGGGAAATTCGACCATATTTTGAAACTAAAAACGACTTTGTGTTTTTTTAATAATAAATTTTGTTTTGCATTTGATGTTAATAAAACATATTTATATGAATGTACTTACTTTTTCAATGCGAGGAATATAAAAGTGTGTTTAGGATTTAGGACCAATGCAGTAGTAGGTAGTGGTAAAGTGTTCTACTCACATTTGCAAGGTATTTATTTTAGAAATATTTTGCCTTTGACAATTGAAATCTTGATAAACACTTATATTCATGAATTTAAGTTTATAGTGTTAAAAACAATAAAAAAAAAAACTATTTAAAAACATGTTCGGATTTTGGTGATGGTTATCCATGGCTATTTTTATTACCCGTTTATTAAGTTGATCACTGTAATAATCACTGTTTTCGAATAAAAAATTAAGCACTTTAGGGGTCATAGAAATAATTTTTGTGCATTCCCACGTTTAGCAAATTAATTTAACTTTCTTTACATTACTAAAATCACATGAAAATTTTTTTTAAGAATTTAATGTGGAAGTTACCATGTTATAAGCAGTGAAATAATTTAAATTGCTGGTTTGTAAATACTTAGATAACGGTCCAATATATTAAAAAAAATTAAATAAATACGCGCTGTAAAATTTTAATAAAGACTCTATAAGTGTTGATGCAGTGTGTCTAAAATTATAAATAAACCTACATATAATGAAGTTTCTTTGTTATCATAATGCCAAAAAAAAATTTTAAGTTTTTTTGCTGACCATTTTGTTTCACCAATAACCTTAAGTCTCCGGTACATTGTTTTTACACTGGTGATTTTCCAACCATCCATACGTTGATAAGGTTCTCTTAGAAATACCGCACACAATTTAACGAATTAATTAATTAATTTCATTACGAAATTGACCTTCCTTTTCCGTATGCTAAAAATTTTTTAAACTTAAAAACAAAAAAAGAGTTGATTCTGTTACATAACATAATATTAAATTTTTAAACTTCATATTTTAAGAAATTTATTGAAATTTAGATAAATTTTAAAAATTTATTTTTATTTTTGCGTTGTTCATAATTAAGTTGTTCATCCTTTACTCTTACCTGTTTACTTTTTACTGTTTATTGGCTTTTACTGAATTTGCAATAAAATGTATCACAAATTTAATTAAATAAGTTAAACTATAAATTGCTCTAACAATAAAATATGTTTTATAAAAAATCATATCTTTTTATTTTTTTAAACCAATTCTTAAATGTTATTTTTGTCATTTTAATTGGCAAAAGTGTAAATAAATAAAAATAAAAAAACAACTCGTAAAACTTTTGTTAAAAAAAAAAATCGAGTTTAATGGAGACAGAAAAAGAAATAGTCAAACCGCGTACGTACTTACTGTCTTAACCCTTCCTCTCCCTCCTTGCGCGGAATATTACGTTTTTGGGTAACCTCCTCTCCCCATACCTGTATACGTACTATGGAGGACCCCTAAATTAAAAAAATATTTATCATAAAAAATTGAAACCTATTAGAATTCCAGCAAGCTGTGCAGTTGTACCATCACCAATTATAGTGTGTCCTTTTAAGATAATAGTATTTTCATCACTTAAAAGCTGCGGCATACTTTTATTCAACTGACGATGAAAGTTTGCATTAGATTGAGAATCTATCATTAGAAGAACAATGTCTAATCCTAAACCTTTAACATCTTGAAAAAAAAATTATATATATATAAATATATATATATATATATATATATATATATATATATATATATATATATATATATATATATATATATATATATATATATATATATATATATATATATATATATAAATTAGTAGAAAATCACTTAGCAAAATTTTTTCTCATTTAACACTGTGTTTCATTAATAAAGACTCATCAGAAAAATATATTTATATATATATATATATATATATATATATATATATATATATATATATATATATATATATATATATATTATGTATATATATATATATATATATATATATATATATATATATATATATATATATATATATATATATATATATATATATATACATATACATATACATATAAATTTATTTATTTATTTATTTCCATATTTTTTTATATATATGCATATTTAGCTTACCCTGTCTTTTCCATGCATTTTTTCTTAAAGTATTTTGTGAACGATTACTTATATGAGCATGAAATTCCGTATGATGAAAACCTTCAACGCTGTGTTCAACTTGGATGAAGTCATCTTCTAATTTATGTTTGAAGACACCTTAATATATATATATATATATATATATATATATATATATATATATATATATATATATATATATATATATATATATATATATATATATATATATATGTATATATATATATATATATATATATATATATATATATATATATATATATATATATATATTTAATTGATATAAAACATATATAGCCGAACATTATGCTTTTAATCAATTAAATATAAAAAATAATAATAACGATCTATCTAATATTGTCATTTGAACAATATATATATATATATATATATATATATATATATATATATATATATATATATATATATATATATATATATACATATATATATATATATGTATATATATATGTATATATATATATATATATATATATATATATATATATGTATATATATATATATGTATATGTATATATATATATGTATATATATATATATATATATATATATATATATATATATATATATATATATATATATATGTATATATATATATGTATATATATATATATTCACATATATATATATATATATATATATATATATATATATATATATATATATATATATATATATATATATATATATATATATATATATATATATATATATATGTATATATATATATATATATATAGTAAAAACTAAATTATTATAATCTTATTTAAATTATTTCAATCTTTATTATGTCTTCTCAAATGGCGAACGTGTAACGGTAAAAAATAAAGAATATAAAATAATAAAAAACTGAACTTAAAATTAAAAAGTAACTAATACTTGTCTTTAAAAATAAATAATTATTATTGTTATACTTATTTTTAATTATTATTGTTATATCTTTTTTTCTTTTTCTTCCTCTTAGCATCTTTTGTTTATTCTATTTTACTTTTTAATAATGGTAGTGAAACAACCATGCGGTATATGCTTTAAGGCGGTTACTAAAAATCATTCAGCAATTCAATGTGACTTAAGTGACAAATGGATACACATAAAATACAATCGAATTGACAAATTAACATATGAAAAAGTCAAAACTTTAAATACTTGGTATTGCCTAATCTGTACAAAAACATTTCTTTCATTTTCTAACATTTCGGATCTTGAGTTATTTACCATACTTGCAGGAAAGTCACGGAAATTTAACGGGGTAAAAAATCTTACTGATATTACAAATTTAAAAAAACTTTTTGGGGACCCCAATGACTTATCTTCCACTCCAATTAACTGTGATGTTCCTGATGTTATGTAGATTTTCCTATGTACAATAAATTGTCCCAAAATTCTTTAAATTATTTCTATTTAAACATATCTTCATTTCCTTACCATATTGACGACTTTAAAATATTATTAGCATCTTTTGATAATTTACCTGATATCATTAGGATTACTGAATCTAACTTGTACGATAAGAATTTCTCTATAACAGTTATAGAGAGATTGTTATCGTACAAGTTAGATTCAGTAATATACATATCCTTCTAATTCAACGTTAGTTACTAACGTTGAATTAGAAGGATATGTATCTGCTCACACGCCAATGAAAGCTAAAAAAGGTGGTGTTTTAATGTATATTAAGTCTAACTTAAATTTTAAAAATAGATCTGAATTAGTCCTGCTTAAAAGTAAGGAACTCGAATCTATATTTATTGAAGTTATAAATTTAAGAAAAAGCAGTCGAATAGTGGGTTATTTATATCGCCATCCATCAATGTGTCCAACTGAATTCGTTGATTACTACCTAAATCTACTTCTTGAGAAAATTTGCTTAGTCAAAAAAAATTTATGTTAATGGGAGATTTTAACTTTGACTTGCTAAAATACAATACCTCCAATAAGGTATCTAATTTTTTAGAATCAATGGTCTCAAATTCTCTTTTTCTTTTTATTATACAGCCTACATGCACAACCACCCATTCTAAAACAATAATTGATAATATTTTTTTAAACTTTTATTATTCTGAAATAATTTCAGGCAATTTTGCCGCTTCAATATCTAATCATCTTGTTCAGTTTATGTTAATTCTACATACCAAAACTCAAACCTCATCTGAACCTAATGTTAGGCGATGTTTTCAAAATTTTAAAAAAGCTGAATTTATCCAAGAAATTTTAAATGTTGAACGGGATGACCATATAAAAAACGACAGTGACGTTAACGATTCTGTTAAAAAATTAATTTAAATATTTGATCATATCTCAAACAAACACTCCTTATAAAAAGTTAACAAAAAATCAAGTAGTTAAACGTAATCAACTTTAGGTAACGAAAGGCATTCTTAAGTCAATAACAATTAAAAATAAACTTAATAAAAAATATTTAAAATCAAAAAAATGTAGAATAAAAATATATATATTTTAAAAAATTTAAACACTATCGTAATAGTATAAGCAATCTTCTAAAGTTAAGCAAAAAGAAATATTACACAAACTTTTTTAGCCACTATATCAATAGCATAAAAAACGCGTGAAAAGGTATAAGAGTTGACAAACGAATTAATAGTAATTCTCTAACAAGCATACTCATTAACAACAAATGCGATACCAATCCAATGTCAAACCATTTTAATAACTTCTTTACCACAATTGCTTCAAAATTATCCTACGAAATTCCGAATTCTAAGTTCAACTATCATGAGTACCTGACCAATCTTACTAGCAACTCTTTTTATATGCAACCTATAACGAAAGAAGAAAATCTTGATTATATAAATTCCACTATAATAGAAGAGAGGAGTGTTGGACCAAACAGTCTTGCAACAAAACTTTTTAAACTGGTTTCAGGAACTCGTTGTAAACCAATTAGTATCATTTTAAACAATTCATTTCGCAAAGGAACATTTCCCGATGTCTTTAAGCTAGCTCAAATTATTCCGATCCACAAAAAAGGATCCACAATTGACTGCACTAACTATTTTTGAATATCTCTTCTTCTAATGTAAGTAAAATATTTGAAAAAGTTATGCATAATAAACTTTACAACTTTCTAAATCAAAATCAATGCTTATATAAACACCAGTTTGATTTTCGTAAAAAGTATTCGAAAGCTCACGCTCTTATTGAAATTACAGAAAGTATAAGAGTTGCTCTTGATAATGGCAACTTTGCTTGTGGGGTTTTTGTCAATTTTCAAAAAGCTTTTGACACCGTAGACCATGAAATTCTCCTCTCAAAGCTTAACTATTATGGTGTGCGTGGCATATCCTTGCAGTGGTTCAAATCATACCTTTCTGATCGTCAACAGTTTGTAACTATAAATGGAACTAGCTTAGATTTAAAAAATGTTTCAATTGGTATACCTCAGGGATCCATATTAGGTCCTCTTCTCTTTATTTTCTATATTATTGATCTCAATCTTTCTATCGAACATTCAAAAACGCATCATTTTGCTGATGATAATAATCTTCAATTAATAACAAACTCTCTCAAAAAACTTGATAAATGTATTAACCAGGTTATAGCCAGTCTTGTTCAATGGCTTAGATCAAATAAAATTACATTGAATATTAAAAAATCAGAAATAATTATATTTAAGACTCAAAATACTATTTATCTAAAAAAACTAAGAAAAATATTCCAAAATACTTGAACTTTCTTTTAAGTGGTCAAAAAATGTACTTGTCTAGTAACATAACTTATCTTAGTGTTGTGTTAGATAAAAAAACTTTTATTCAAAACACATATCTGACCTTACTCTGAAGTTAGGCCGTTCCAAAGGCACGTTAACTGCTCTTTATATATCACTCAATTCTTGTTTCACATTTACGATATGCATGTCACGTTTGGGGACAATCAAAAACTGTATATCTCTCTAGAGTTGTTTCACTTCAAAATAGAACGGTACGGATTATTCATATATGTCTGAGAAATTTTTCTACTTACATCCTATATCTTACATCCAAAATTCTTCGTTTCTATGATTTAATTCAGTTCTTAAATTGTTTATTTGTCTGGGATCAACAACATCGTGTCCTTCCTACTATATTTTAAAACTACTTTAATAATAGAACAACATGTGGGCATAACCAAAGATCATTCACTTGTAACAACTCTTCCACTAAAACAGACAAGTAAACATGGAATTAATTCTATTACATACCAGTGTATTCTTTCTTGGAACTCCTTTCCGAACACCTAAAAATCAGGTCTCATCCTTAGGATCAAGAATCTGTTCTTAATGACTAACCCTGACTTAACCTAACCCTGACTCCATTATTTCTACCTAAAAGGTTACGCTTAACTTTACTTTTTAATTTTATACTTTCTACCTTTTGACTTATTTTTTTATTTTTATTATAGTTTATTATTTTATTATATTTTTATTTTTAATATTTTATTTTAAATAATTATTTTTATTATGATTTACTTATTTTATTATAATTCTTAAGTACATGTGTTGAGTGTCCTCTTTCCACTTTTTAAAAAAAAAATAGAGTAACTTTTGCTGAAATAAAAAAAATTGTTTTAAAAAATGAAAGAGATTTAGGTGTTCTAATAGTATGGTTTGTAATTAATAATACTATTCATTTACGATCACAAGTTTATTCAAATGGAGTTCCATATTTTATAATCAAGAATAGTGAGGATTTACATTTTGAAACTTATCATTATGGTGCCGAAAATGAAGTTCCTACAAAATCTAAAAACAGAATTTCAAAAATCAACTTGTGGTCTTTAGGAATTTAATTCCATGCAGAAAAGAAATTATAATTCAGGAATATTTAGCCTCTATGGGTACACAGTGTGTTGGTAGTAAGATTTATTTTAAGGAGATTATTATTAGATCTTTTCAGTATTTCGCTACTTCTAGAAGTTTGTATAATCAATAGAGAACAGATTACCAATTGCCTTCTGTAAGAACTTTGACAAGAATAACTTTAAAAGTTTTTAAATTAAATGAGAAATATTTTTTTTGACTAATATTTTTCAATCTGCTGAAGAAAAAAGAAACTTTGTTTTTATTGCATGATGAGGTTTATGTTAAAAAAATGTTGTTA